CCACATGACTGTTTCTTGTATCTTTTAAAGACATATGCAGCATGAGAGTCACCTCATAGAAGAAAAAGAATTTACAATGAGCCAATTACAGTGGTGCACATCTATAGCCCCAGCACTCAGAAGGCATTGGCCAGAGGGTCACTTGAGCTCAGACTGGACAGCATAGCGAGACTCTGTCTCAAAAAAATAAAATGAATTTACAGTGAAACAGAAACCAACCACTGACCAATGTGCTCTCAAACTGAAGTCTTCATTCCCACTCTCTTCCTCGAGAGAAAGTTCCTGATGACTTGAGCTATGTGGTTCCCTTAGCAAAGCAGGGAGGGCCGGGGCCCCCTCTCCACCCTCAGTCCTCATGGCAGGAGCTGATGGAGCAGATCTGAGGAATAGGACAAGGACTGCAGAGGAGATTTGCCAAAAGGCTTCTGGGGGAAGAAGGCACACATTCTAACAGAGAAATAAGGGAATGCCCTGAACTTCTCCAACCAAGGTCGTGTGATATGGTGACCAAGCATTAGGGATCCGGCCTCAGTCTGGTTCAGTCCCCTGCTTGGCTACTTCCTAGTACACCTTACTACCAAGACATAAGTTTGGACACTCATTTCCGTAAGCTTCACTTCTTGCTATAAAATGGGCATGATAGTCTAACACACAGGTGGACACAAATATTTATTAAGAGTAATGATTATAAATGGATAGTGTGCGGCACATGATGTGGCTTTAGTGAATGTTAGCTGCATTCAAACCATGGGTCACAACCATTCCTGACTTGTGTAATCAATTCAGTGGTTAACCAGCATGGTTTTTGGTTTGGTTTCTGTTTTTAATTTTAAATACAGTGAACATTGTAGGATAAGAGTCATAAAATTATGCGTGTGTATACCTGTGTATGTACATGTGTTTGTATTCTGAGTTGCAACAAAAAATATTTCCAATTGTGGGTTACATTTAAAAGTTGTGGCCAGGTACAGTGGCTTACACCTGTAATCCCAGCTGCCCAGGAAGCCAAGACAAGAAAGTTGCAAGTTCAAGGTCAGCCTCAGGGAGACCCAGTCAAAATAATAAAAAAGGACTGGAGGTGTGGCTCAGTGGTAGAGACCCCTGGGTTAAATCCTGGTTGGGGCCAGCGGGTGAGGGTATGAAGCCATTGAAGACAGATGGTGTTGTGTGACCAACTTGGAGAGGCATATTTATGTGGGCTGCCGAGTGAGGTTCTGACTTTCTTCACCCAAGAAAGGGTGAAAGAGCCTGTGCAGAGTACATGCTTGACCTCCTCTGGAGCCTCAGTTCTGATACATTCATTTTGGGGAACTGTTGAATTTTTTACAGGTCTCAGCTCATGCGTCAGCCAAGTCATACATCCCCAAAAGAGGTGTAGGTGTAGGCGTTGCCCTCCTAACAGGAGCCAGCCATTTCTGTTCTCTCAAGCTTGAATTATCACTGCTCCTCTGCAAACCTCTAGCTTAAGAATTCTGCCTTCAGGACACCTTTATAAGCCACCCAAAATTCCAAATTAAGTGCCCCAGGTCCTTTTTATGTATCATATTCACTTGGAATATTTTCTTCTTTCCAGACTCAAAGTTGACATTCCTTGAATGTTTGTCCGCTTAATTACTGAAGAATTTGTGTGTGGGTACACAGGCCGGGTTCTGTCTTGAATACTTTGATGAGCTTGTTGAGGTTGAATATAATACAAGAGTGCTCATCTGGGAGCATGCCACATGAATGGAAAATTGTAACCCTGGGTGCTCTTTGCTTTGTTCCCCTCTATGTCTTTTCTGACTTTGAAAGCAGCTCATGGAGAGTAAGGCTTTCTGGTACAATTGGGAAAACCATGGGCAGAGAGAGAAGACGCCAGTTCTAGTCCCAGTTCTACAAAACCATCTGGATGAGCTTTGGACTCTGTTACAGCCTCTCAGAACTTCTATTTCCCTATTTGCCAAGTGTCAGTACTAATGGCCATCTCCTCACAGAGTGCTGTAAAGGAAGGACTGATAGACAGCCATGGCCTTGAATGAGGTCCCATCTGAATGGACACAGCAAATCTGTCATTTCTGGGCATCTCCTATAGCATGCTCTGCCTCCTGTCCCAGCTCTCTTTGACAGACTTCAGATGATATCCAGGAAGGACATGCAGGATTCCCAAAGCAGGCTGCCTCAGTTGGCTATCACTGCTTTTGCTAAGGAGGTCTGGTGAGGGGCCATCATAGCCTCCTGAGTCCATGACCCACGCAGGGTCCCTCAAGACTTGTATCTATAAGGTCCATTTATTGAAATAGCCTTTTTGTTCTGATTAGAAAAATAACACCCATTCATTGGTAAAAACCCAGAGCATGTTGGACGCAGTAGTGCACACCTATAATCCCAGTGGCTTGGGAGGCTGAGATAGGAGGATCATGAGTTCAAAGCCAGTCTCAGAAAAAAGCGAGGTGCTAAGCAACTCAGTGAGATCCTGTCTCTAAAGAAAATACAAAATAGGGCTGGTGATGTAGCTCAGTGGTCAAGTGCCCCTGAGTTTAATCCCTAGTCAAAAAAAAAAAAAAAACCTGGAACATATGGGAAAGTCTATAGAGATAAATAGATCATCTAAAATCCCATTCTGAAGGTAATTTCGGGTTCCATGAGAATGTCATGTTCACCTTTGCTTTCTTCCCTTGACACCAGAAGGAATGTTCCAGTGTCATGTAAAAATGTATGCACACCATTTTTTATGGTTGCCTAGTGTTCTGACTTACAGACTCATTTACTTCACCTACATCATTGGACATTGTTTCCAACTTTTCGTTATTATATTATAATTCAGTGTTCAGATTGTTACTGCGCAAATATTTATGTCTTGGAATCTTATTTTTTGTTGTTTTAATATTTCATTGTGATGTAATTTCAGACTTACATAAAAGTAGAATAGTATAAAGAGTTTCCATTTATCATTCCATCATTGCCATCACAGGCTAACATTTTAGACAACCACAATACAAAAAAAACTGGAGCTGAGCATAGTGGCACACTCCAGTAGTCCCAGCTACTCAGGAGGCTGACGCAGGAGGACTGCTAGAGCCCAGGAGCTCAAGGCCAGCCTGGGCAATATAACCCCATGCACACCCTGACACCCTTTAAAAAAAGGGGGGGGGGATTTACTGATACATTACTATTTACTAATCTGTATACTTTATTCATTTTTCTCCTATTGTCCCACTAATGTCCTTTTCTATCCCTGGATCCCACATCACATTTTTGGGGAAGGTCCTGGGGATTGAACCCAGGAGTGCTTTACCACCAAGCTACATCCCCAGTCCTTTTTATCTTTTATTTTGATCCAGGCTCTCACTAAGTTGCTTAGGGCCTCACTAAGTTACTGATGCTAACCTCAAACTTAACAATCCTCCGTTTTAGCCTCCTGAGTCCCTGGGATTAAAGGTGTGTATTACCACACCCAGCTAATATCATTTTTCCTATCTCTTTAATCTCTTCCAACTTGTGACAGTTTCTCAGTCTTTGTTTATGTTTCATGACCCTGACCTTTTTTAAATTAAGGTGAAATTCACATAAGGTAATCATTTAAAAATATACAATTTCATGGTATTTAGTGTGTTTGTAGTGTGCCATCACCACTTCTAACTAGTGCCAGAATAGGTTCGTCACAGCCTTTGACCTTTTTTCAAGATGGGTAGGCCATGCTTTCTATAGAATATCTTTCACTTTGCATTTGTCCGATATTTTCCCATGGTTAGATTGAAGTTATACAAGAGTATCTGGGAGTATCTGAACCATGGTTATGACCTCAGTGCACTGTGACACGTGATATTGATGATGTTTCTTTTTTGGTGACATTAACTTTGACATTTGGTTAAGTTGGTAACTGCAACATTTTCCTACTGTAAAGGACTTTTTTCCCCTCGGGAATTAAAAAGTTTCTCATAAGGAGATACCTTGAGCTCAGATTATTTAACTTACAGTTTTTTCAAAAGTCAAGAAACTTAAATCACTGAGATGGGTGGGAAGAAAGGGTATGAGAAGAACTAGGGTGGGTTGTGGTCGGTCTGAGACAGTACATGTCCCTCAGGTTCTCTTTCTGCGAAACAAAGGATCGTGTGAGTTACTTGAGGATCTTGTATGGAAGAGCTAGGTGCAAAGATCTCTCCAGGGTAGTCTTGAGTCCTGTGAGGGAACACACCCATGTCTGCCACACTCACAGGGAACTCCTGTGGCTTCCAGAAGAGCTGGAGAAAGCAGACCACACTGGGGGGGTCAAAGCCTCTGTGAGGGTATTGTGGGCCTGGAGAACTGGCCTTGCTGTGTTTTTAACTCCTTTGGGCTTCCCTATCCCAACACCCTCTGTGGCCTGGGGGCCGAGTCACAACCAACACCCAGAGGCAGGTGAGTGGGCGGCTTGGGAGAGGCCACAGGGAGTATCCACTGCATGAGCAGGCCTGAGCCAACCTCGAGCCCCAAAGCCCTGGTGACCCCCAGTGCCCGCTGCACGCTGGTACCTGCTTCATCTTGCATGCTGTGTGTGTCCTGCATTCTTGCCTTTGCCCATCAGCCATCGCCATGCAGAACCTGCTGCTCCTACCATGAGGGGCATGGCCCAGGAAACGGGCTACCTTTCTTATTGGTTCTTATAGATGGGTGGCCCAGCTCACGCCTGGAGAGGCCCAGGGTATTACTCCTTGGCCCTTGGCCACTCAGCACGTGGCCCCTGTCCAGCAGCTGGCCTGTACCTTTGGGAAGAAAGGAGGGGGAGGCCAGGGGAGTGGGCAGCAGACATAAGCCAGCTGCTATGCAGGCCCTGCTTGCTAGGGCTCCTGCACACTGCTCCCCACCCACACTTCAGCAGCCCTCTGAGGGCCTCCAGGTGACCTGGGCCACAAAGGAATATGCCCTGTTATTTACCACTTTACCCCGGCCTGGGCTCCATCCCTCTGCTATGCCAGGACCCGGGAGTGTTCATGAAGTCCAGCCCCAGACCATGCTGACGCTCTTTCTCCTGTCCTCCCCAGGGCATCGAGCGCCTCAAACGAAAGAATCAGCCCAGGGAGCACAGGGCCAACTGGAGGTCGGTGAAAGACACCTGTGGTGGGGACTTCTCCCTGAACTGGTTCAACCCCTTCTCCAGACCATGGCAGCCAGAGATGCCCAGTGACAAGGACTTGGTGCGGCAGGTATCATCACTGTCAGATGTAGAGAGCACCCAAACGACAGAGGAGCATTCAGAAGAGATAAAGGACGAGGACTCTATTGAGGTGCTAGATGAATAGGTGTTGTGGGAGACAACCAAACACTTAAAGTGGCTACTAAACCGTGTTCGGGGGTTTTGGTTAATGTCCTCCCCAGAACCTCCTGACACTTCTCCCAGGCTACTTGCCTGGTCTTACCATCCCAGTGACCCCCCTCCTTCCTCTCTCGATGTTGGGATAGACAGGGGACAGTGAAGAAGGTAGGGACTTCTCTGAGTTCGCCTAGGCAGAATGCCCAGAGAGGGGTGTCAGGTCTCATTCTCCAATCTGGGGGGCTTTCACAGCTACTGCCCTCAAAGAAAGCTCCAAACAGGGCAGCCCAAGAACTCATTTCTGGCTTTCATGGGGATGCTGTCATCTTTTGGGAAGGTTGGGGCCCTGGCTCCTGGCTAGTGATGGAAGGGCAGGACAGGGCTGGCTTTGGGGACCTGAGGTGGAGTACTGATGTCAGGAGAACCTACCTACAGCTGCTCTCTGGAAGGATTTTCCCCACTCCCTGCCTAAATTAAGAGAAAGGTGTGGCTGTCACATCTGCTCTCAAGACCTCAGGCTTGAGGGCTGGGGATATAGCTCAGTTGGTAGAATGCTTGCCTCACATGCACAAGGCCCTGGGTTCAATCCCCATCACCACCAAAAAAAAAAAAAAAAAAAAAAAGACCTCAGGCTTGGCTTGAAAGACAACCCTGCATGCACATGCATGCATGTGCAGGAACTGCCCCAGGATGGAAGTAAGCCTGGGTTTTGACATTAGCATCAAAACTTAGTTCTGTTCCATAGACAATAGAATGTTCCTCCAAATAGCTTGGAGCTGCCCTGCCTCGTGTCTCCTCCATTCACAGGAGAGACATGGGAAGGACCTGTCATTTAACTTTCCCTCCTGGGGGGAGCCTAATACCAAAACACTCATGGGCAGAAATGACCAGAAATTCTACCTGTGTTTTGGGCCAGTTCTCCCAAGGTGGTACCTATCCTGACTCTCAGACAGAATGATAGTGGCCCGGGCCTGCAGACTGATGATGAACCTAGGAGACAGACACCCCCACCCACTACGTTCTGCCAGGATGAACCTGGATGTAGTGAGCCCCCATGAAGCCTGGGGCATCTGGCCATTAGTGAAGGTCTGAGCAGGCCCTCTGCTGAGAAGCCCCATTGTAGTGGTTTCTGAAGCAACAGCTACTGCAAAGTCTAACTCAAGGGTCCCTATCCCCATCAGATATGAAAAACACCCTGCTCTCCAACTCCTAGCTTGGCCTTTGTTCCTACCCATTTCCCTGGTATAGTCTGGCCCCAAGATGGGGGGAGATGAGGCAGAACGTGCCCTTGTAAGGTCTCCATGTCAGGGCCCCCCTCCTAGCTATAGGTGAAAGGGCATGAGTCCCAGCCCAAAGGGACCTGTGGCCCCAGATGAGTGGGGAAGAAAGTCACTATTTGGAGATACAGCCTCAGGACACTGAGAAAGGAAGGCTAGCCAAGAATGGTCTTGTTCTTGGACAGCATCCTTGGGTGATCCCTAGAGGGAGGGGATCCATCAGAGAATCCTCTGTCTACACCTAATGCCCCACCAGGCTCTGCAGTGAATTGCCCAGAGGGGCCGGTTCACAAAGCCCCCTCTATCCTAACCCTCACTCACAGCTCTCCAGCTATATTCCATGAGTGAGTGACAGTCGGACTCTAGTGTAGAAGGACCCGGAAGGTGTTGGCCTTCCACAGCCAGGCTGAAGGCCTGTTTTCTTGGTCCAGGTCAGCTTTCACATTGATTAATGCCAATGCACCAGTGACACAGTGGCTTTTTTCCACGGTGGCTACTGACACGTAACGTTCTGCTTAGCCCCAAACTGAAAGCACTACACCTGACATCCAAGCGAGACACGGTTTTTCAGGGAGGGAGCCGGGGTGCAAACCTTCACCTCTTTGAATAAAAAGCTCTGTGCTCGACCTCTGGAAGAATCTACTGTTTCTAGGAGGAGATCCCAGTCCAAGTCCTTGGGCAGCACCCTTCCTTTCAAGTCACCTTGAGGACACCTCTAGGAACACTGCTTTCATCCAGTTCCAGTGTGCCAGACAGGGGTCACACAGACACCTGTGATGGCTGTGTCGCCTCGGGTCCAAATGCTGCACCCTGGGATTACTAACCAGACCCGTGGGCTCCTGCGTAGTGTTTCCAGCAGAGGGAAAAGTCACTCTTCATCCAAAAGGCACTCACCAAACACCTGCGGTGTCCCAAGAGTGATGGGGATTGAGGTTTGTTAACTTTGAGTGCCTGAAAGGGAGACGATGGATGGCAGGCATTGTACCCCTGAATCACACACACCGTAACCCTCATTCAACCTGCACATGTGCCTCTGCCAGGGTCCCTGTGCTCTTGGACTTGTAGCCCTTGAGAGAGAGGCTGGATGTCCCAGATAGGACCCAGAATTAAAAGCCATCCCCTCAGAGAACCCTGCCATGTGATCCTCCCCATATGACACCCAGAGCAGGTGCTTTAATTAGCTTGTTGACATAAAGAAGTGACCCTGGGAGCCAGGCTGGTGGCTTATGCCTATAACCCAGCAACTCAGTATGCTGAGGCAAGAGGATTCCAAGTTCAAGGCCAGCCTTAGCAACTTAAAGACCCTCAGCAATTAGTGAGACCCTGTCTCAAAATATAACACGGTTGGGGATATAACTCAGAGGTTAGATTCCCAGTACCAAAAAAAAAAAAAGTCTACCATTTGAACCTCCAGGGGGGCAGAAAAATGGATTTCAGTTAGAGAAGAAGGGCCCTCTTTTCCAGAATGATGTACCTCCAGAACAGACCCCCACTCAAGCATCGGGGTGCAGGCAATAGGGTCTCTCCCCTAGCTTTGCCCAGAGTAGCAAATGGACCTGCTCTGCTGCTTAGGGCCTTGCTTCTGCTCAGCCTGAGGCATCTGAGAAAGAGTACCCATGCCCATCTGAGAGAGCAGAGTCTCAGGACAGGGAGAACCTGGCACCTGGCCTGGGGACATCTCCAGTGTGGTTTCCTACAGGGCCTGACCCCTTCCCTTGGGCCCAGCGGGGTCTTCAAGCAGGCCGAGAGAATGACCCAGTTGGCAGATGCCCCAGCACTGGTGAACCCATGGCCTGAAGAGATGGCAACTTGTAGCCCCACTGAGTACCAGCCCTGGGCTTCATGGAAGGGATGTGTGGTTTTGCAGGTCTTAGGCTCTGAATCTAGACAATGGTGACACTACTTTTTGAGGCCATGACTTGAGGGATGGATGTTCTGTGGCCTAGGCTAGGTGTTGCTAGCTGTAAAAGAGGTGGCCTAGCTGCCTGTGGTTTGCATTGCCTTTGAATACCTTATCTTTCACCTGGCTGGCTTTTGAATCTACCCTCACATGACTAATCAAATCTAATCATCTGTGATCTGAAAGCAAAGCATGAAGTAAGAAATGCTGAAAATATTTCCATAATTAGGATAACATGAAACTCAAGTCTCCAAGAAGGAAAATATGGAGCCAAATTTTTCAAGGTTCTTGTAGTGAAAGACATCTTAGTATTTAAACAAAACAAAACAAAACAAAAAACTACACAAGACTGGTTTTTGTTATTGTTATTTTTGGTACCAGGGATTGAACCCAGGGCACTCAACCACTGAGCCATATCCCCAGTACCCTTTATTTTCTGTTTTGAGACAGAGTCTTCCTGAGTTGCTGGGGCCTCACTAAGTTGGTGAGGCTGGCCTTGAACCTGTGATCCTCCTGCCTCAGCTTCCCGAGTGGCTGGAATTGCAGGAGTATGCCACCACAAGACTGCTAAAAAAAAAAAAAGGGATCTGGGCACGGTGGTGCACACCTGTAATACCAGCAGCTCAGGAGGCTGAGACAGGATTGTAAGTTCTCAGCAAAGGCAAGCACTAAGCAACTCTTTAATAAAAGGGGGGTGGGGGGGCTGTGGCTGTGACTCGGCAGTCGAGTGCCCCTGAGTTCAATCCCCAGTATCAAAAAAATTTAAAAAAGACTGGGGATGTAGCTCAGTGGTAGATCACTTTCCTTCCATGCACAAGGGCCTGGAGTTGATCCCCAACACTGCAGAGAATTAAAATTAAAATTTAAAATATATATACATATATAGGTGTGTGTGTGTGTGTGTGTGTAAATATATCTTCCATTCAGAGATCTGGGTCCATTTCTCTGGAATCAAGGTGTCAGGCCCGTGCTCCCTCCAAAATCTCTCAGAGAATCTCTTCCCTCCAGCCTTTCTCTCAGCTTCTGATGCCAGCAGTTCTACATGTGTATATACAATCTACTCTGTCATTGTTTTGAGGAATTCAAGACATGTAATCCTATGCCAGCCAGAGGTCCTAACCTGACCTACATCCTGGCCTCTTTCAGGATCCCTTGTAACCAAAATAGGGACCTTCCTGCACTACCCAGCCCCAGCTGCAGCCTGTGGGCCTGAAACCCCCTCCAGCAGAAAGAAGGGTGCAAGGTGGCCTCCATAGGGGGGTCCTTGAAACAAAAATGTCTTTCCCAAGCTCCATAGGTGCTCTTCCTCAACTCCAGGGTTAAATACCTGTGTGTGCTCCACAGGCCATAGGCTCCAACCCGCCATTCCAGGCTCCCTTCTGTACCCCTGGACAAGAACTGAAGCCAGGCTCTGCTCCTCCTCCCTCAGGACACCTCCACCCCTGCTCCTTCCAGAGCCAGAGCACCAGAGACTTGCCCCTCCTTCCCCAGCTGGCCTCATCGCACCCTCTTTCTCACACCCCCACCTCTGCCACCCAGGGCATCTTTCCTACATGTTTCAGGCTTGATCTCATTCTGTGGTTTTCACCCAAACATGTAGCTCTGCCAGTGGATGCTCCCTCCCATCTCCTGCTCTCTGTCCCACTGGTAATACAGACTCATGACTAAACACTCTACCTCCTGAAATCCAGTCAGCAGCCTACTAAGCGCCTGTCATGGCAAAGCTAGCTTACAGGCATTTCAAACATCCCCCAGACTGGACGGCTGCAGGGACCACATTCTCCCTGCCTCCTCCCAGGAGCTGGGAAGAAATACTTAGCTAAGCCACTTGGGTGAAGGTGGAGGTAAAACCAGAGAAACTCTTGATGCTTAAGTAATGTCAGATGGACCCCTAAATCCCTCTCAAGGGAATGTGGGCCCCATGAAGCCTGGGGATCCCATGTCACAGAGAGGAGAAAGTGAGTCTGGGTCCACATATGAGATGTAGCGCCCTGGCCCCACCTAAACACAAGGGACAACCTCAAACAGGCCCAGACTTCTGAGATGATGGGCTTTGTGACAATGTGCTCCAGTTGTTAGAGGCAAGGTGGCCTTTCTTAGAAACTGCCATGGAGTCTTCAGAAAGGGAACCACTTTTTCATGGGAGAAAGCTAACCAGCCAGGACCAGAAGAGTCTGGCACCCAATTTTACTTCACACTGCACTGGGTGTGCGTTACAGTCACCTGAGTTTAGGTGCCAAGCCTTTTCACTTTAATCAATTGTTATGTAAAACCTCTGGATGAATACACAAGAAACTGACAACATGAGTCACTTCTGGAAAGAGGAACTTCAGTGTCTGCAGGAGCCTGGGCACACGCCTGTAATCCCAGAGACTTGTTAGGAGGAGGCAGGAAGATCATAAATCTAAGACCAGCCTCAACCATTTAGCAAGATCCTTGGCAACTTAGTGAGACCCTAATTCAAAATAAAATTTTTTAAAAAGTCTAGAGCTCAGTGGTAAAGCATCCCTGGGTTCAGTTCCCAGTATCAAAGAAGAAAAGGTCTAGGGAGAGGGTAGGAGAGGAACCTATCTCACCATTTGCATTTTCAGAATTTTGTACTATATGCAAACATTACTCATTTTTAAAAAATATTTTATGATTCAGTTGACCAAAAACTGAAAAAAGGAAAATCCTTGAACTATCACTTCTCTAGGAATATCTATTTAGAAAAACAAGATACCCTCTTCCTTAGGAATGCAATTGACCCAATGATAAGCCAGCCAGCGTCCCCCCAAAGGTTCTAGAGGCTCCACCCAACTCGGAGGCCAAGTTCCAGGTAGGAACCTTTCTGACCAGCAGCTTACCTCGACAGAGAAGTCAAGGTGCAGGGAACATGGGGACATCTCAGCAGCTATTGTTTCTTTGGAGTCCACAGTGTCTTCAACAACCTCTGATGATTGGCTCATCAAACATGCCCAAGTTGCTGAGATGTAGATATTAAAGTCCAAGGTCGAAATCATTTCTGATATAGCCAGGGAGAAGTGGAGTTTTCATCAAGCATAGAATTAGATTTAACTCTGGATGGACTGAACTGGGTAACCTTGGGCATGCCCCATCCTCTTTTTAGAAAACAAGAAGCTGGGCTTCTTTTTTTTTTTAATTTATTTTTTTTTAAATTTTTATTGTTGGTTGTTCAAAACATTACATAGTTCTTGACAAATCATATTTCACACTTTGATTCAAGTGGGTTATGAACTCCCATTTTTACCCCGTATACAGATTTCAGCATCACATCGGTTACACATCCACTGTTTTACATATTGCTATACTAGTGTCTGTTGTATTCTGCTGCCTTTCCTATCCTCTACTATCCCCCATCCCCTCCCCTCCCCTCTTCTCTCTCTACCCCATCTACTGTAATTCATTTCTCCCCCCTTGTTTTTTTTTCCCTTTCCCCTCACTTCCTCTTGTATGTAATTTTGTATAACCATGAGGGTCTCCTTCCATTTCCATACAATTTCCCTTCTCTTTCCTTTTCCCTTCCACCTCTCACCCCTGTTTAATGTTTTTTTTTTTTTTGATGGATATATCAATTAGCGTTTGATTTAATCATTTTGTACTGTGTATGTATATCAAAATATCACATTGTACCTCATATAATTATGACTCATCAATTAATATTAATTTTAATGAATAGTACCTACTAATACTACCTAATTTGTGTGATTACTGTGGAGATTAAAA